CTTTTTTATCTTTTTTTAAATCACAATGTAGCACGATCTCGAGTATGATAATTTGAGAACATAACAGAAAATCGAATGCTACTTTCAATGTGCATTCATGAGTAGTCGAGTACATCCGTCCCATAAACGGTTATCGATGAACGTGCACATTATAGTAGCGCAATAAGAACTGCGCAATCAATCGATTTTCGGTAGTAATTCCGTTTTCATAACAGTCACTCTCGTAATAGCCACAAAAATAACGACACGCTTGAATTAGAAACCTACCTGTTCCCATCTATAGACGAATTATCATTAATTATTAAGCAATAAGATACATTAACTTTGTTGCCTACATATACATTAACATTCAAAAGTATCTTGATTTGATTCATATTAACATTCAAAAGTATCTTGATCTCTTTAACATATATAATCGTAATTACAACTATTATATATAATTACAGTCGGTAATATACGTAATTCAATCACAAAATTATCACGACTACATATAGGAAAAGCTAATATACAGAAAAAGGATTTGTAATTGCAGAAAATGGCTACATTAAACTAACTATTTTTCAGACATTTATTTTACTGGATACTAAATTCATTAAAATTTTTCTGTATGTATATATATATATCTTTTATATTCATATATGAATTCATATTTCATAAGATCAATTTTAAAGCTAGAAACACACTACAATTAAGTACAAAATTAATATATGTATTCCTTGCCTTAAATTGTATCATACACTACCTAATTATCCCGATTCATTAAATATATATAAACAGTCAAAATTACGTACTGTATTTAGTTTGTATTTTATAAACGAAGTTAAAATATGTAAAACTGGTATTACTCTTTTTTTCTGAATCAAGAAGAACATAAACTACATTTTCTATTTTTATCTTGTAGAATTTTTGCGAATGTAGTACGTACGTAGTTTTATAAACTAATTCTTAAACAAAACTCTCGTGAGAAGCAACGACACGAAATAAACCTATAACTTTCGCGAATTCGAAACTCGAAGATGCATGCTGCATTATTAAAATGACAACAGCGACGCCAGAGAAAATATTTGGCTAGAATCCAATAAAGGATCGCACAATTCCACCGTAACTCTCTTTCTCTCTCTCTCTCTCTTTCTCTTTCACCGCAAGTCCTTCTAGAACAAACCGACCGGATTAAATTATAAATTACGACAGAGAGCAATAGCAGGAAAAATCAACACGTGACGATGCGGCCGGATATTCCGAGAGGAACTTTTTCGAATTTACGGGTAGACGCTCATAACATCGAAATTCAAGTACACCAATAAACACAGACGCACTATATATTATACGCTGACACATCACGTCCGCCGTAAACTTTTATTCCCATTCAAATTCTCTTTGATACGATTTTTAAAGTTTGCTTTTACGAGCGAGCCACTTTTACTTAATGATCGCCTAAAATTGCTAGAAAATCATTTTACTACGCAAATAAGCCGTGTAGCTCGTTCTATGGAAACTAATCAAAATATAAATGCAAAAAACCGTAGATATAATCTTCGCTCTGTGATAAAAAGGTAGCGCATCCCATAAATTAATCAATTTTCGATCTTTAAGAAATTTTATCATATAGTATGTTCTATTACTGTAGGAACTTAAACGGAACAGTCCTATCAAAACATAAACTTTTCTTTTCTTTTTATTTGGTAGAATTTTTACAATCAATTCTCATTGAGAATTATAAGTAAATTATTTTGGCGTGGTACTGTAACTTGGATTATAAGTGTTTATAGTATGTTTGATTCTAGTTAAATCTAATGCTTAAATCTAAAGGGTAATGTCTTTTTAGTCTGCGGATCTGATCCGTAGTGTTAAGTAATTGGGTAACTAATGGGTTTTGGTGGTTGTTAACTCTTATATTATATCTGTTACTGAATTTGAATATTTCTTCTTTAACTGTAGGTAAAACAAAGTTTCTTTGATAGGAAAATAATATTTCTCAAAAATTATGAATAGTTAATAATTTACTATAGTGACTGCCACGACTATACCTAATGAATGGAAAGATATTTTTGGGAACTGAAGATAGAAATTAAAGGATTGAATTAAGGGAACGGAGACTGTGACGGATAGATTATACTTCAAAGTTTTTAAGTGATCATAAACTAAACATCAGTGAAGCCAGCCAAGCGAAAACTCGACGAAATAATACTGTTGCTAGATCAAACGGAACAGAGAAATAAACATGATAAAACTGTTTCGTTCAAGCAAATTGAATAACTTTTGCTCAGAAAGGAAACAAACAGGTTAATAAAGCCAGATAAGCTTAAAACTTTATTTATATTTAGAAATTACTTCGACTTTTCGGCGTAATTGCTTTTAAAAGAACAAGATTCTCATCAACCTAAAGTCGTTTTAAATAACTCTAGACATTTGCAACAAGATAAAAGTAACAAAACTATTCTACAACAAATTAAAGTTACGTATAAATGAAGAGTAACTAATTTTTAAGTTATTCTCGTGTAAGAAATAAAAAATGTGACTAAGAACAATTTAATTCAATACAAATGTCCACCTAATCGTAAGTTGCAATGTAATTTATTATCAGAGGATTGTATCTTTCCGTTAATTAAATAAATAAAGTATTTGCATGACTTATCTTTAATTCTCTGATAAAATTATATCTTCTTACAAATTACCAAGTAAAAAGTATCCTAAGTGAATTCTAAGCGAGAATGTTGAATGTTACACTTATTAGAAAAGATACGCGAACAATATTATATTCTTATAAGATTCTTCACAGAATCATATTTACTTCTTCAAAAGTAAAAGTTCAGCTACGTCAAGTGACATTGCAACATCTTTTCCTTCTCATAATTAACCGCGTTCTCTCAACTATTGTTTGCTACATTGTTGTACAACCACTCAGTTAATTCATCTGGATTTTTCTCACGGTGACACAATCTTAATAGACATAAAATTTCTTAAACATACAGGCACAAATTATAACACGTAAACTTGGTATTAAATTAACAAAATAACTGTAAATATTATAGATTCTTCTGATACGAATATTCGTATACGATAACTGGATTCCCTTACACAATAATTTGCCAATCAATTAAAGATTTACCAAACAATTACATAATAACTTGCCAACCTGCGCAAAAGTTTGTTTAATCTATAAATAGAATTCAATTTTTAAATTGTCTTCTTGTAAGAAAAGAAAAATATAACTTATCAAGTTATTTTCCTGTAATCTTCATATTAATTCACCGTGTGATCATCAATGGCTTAAAACTATTAGGATCTACCGTCCTCAATATTCATAGATATCATCAACTAGGCGTTTTAAACGTTAATTAAAATCAGTGCATAACGGTTCGCATGGTCGAAAACCGGACCAAGCGGAAAATTCCTCATCACAAAATGGCCTCGTCATAAAATTCGTTCAAAGCCCCATATCCATCCAGGTATCGTCCACCCTTTCACGCAAAGGTATTTCAATAACTGTTCACGATGTCCTAAAAGTATGCTGAAATTAAACCTACTCGTGACGCAAACCCACAAAATTCATATTTTTTGTAATTGCACTCGTGGAACGCTTAAAACACAAGTGTTCACATTTTTCTAAATTTTGATTAGTTTTTACCTCAACTTAAACAGAACGGTTTTCAGATTTATAATATTTTACCAAGCTTACACTTAACCGTTCAAGTCTGAACAATCTCATCAAACCAGGCCGGACCAGGGTGTAGTGAGTTTATAAAAAAATCAGGTTTAAAATTAACACGCTTCGAGTGTCGGAGCAAGCAAATTGGCAGAAATATGAGGAGATAAGAAAAAAGGACCTAAAATCTGAAGCATGGCCGTACGAAAGGATTTTGAGCGCGCAGTCAATGTATTTTATATGAGCCGCTTATTTCTCAAATCGGTTGTCTCTACAAAACAGGAAGTGGGGAAAATTGATGATATTATACATATATGATAATATGATATGATCGAGATACGATCTTTTTTTTTTTTGTTTTTTTTTGGAAATGTAGAGTTAACCACATTGGCCTGTGAACAGCTCTATACAAGATATTGAAATTGGTTGAAATTTATTGAGATTTATTGAAATTAATTGAAATTTATTAAAATGTATTGAGATTTATCGAAATTTATTACAATTTATTTCTATTACAATATCTTCAATTTCTCTTTCTCAATTACCAATTTATTGAGATTGTAATTAATATTTGCATTTCTCTTACTTATAAATGAGACATCATTATTTATAACCAGACTGTGGGTGTTACAGATTTACGAATGCTTAAAAATGCAGAAATACTGGTAATGCACATACTGTTCAAATTAGATGAATATTACGTAAACACTGAAAGAGAACATTTATAAATGTAATTACTAAATGGTGCAGATGTTAAAAGTCTCAAACAATGAGTTTATTAATAAATGCATACATACATACATATATTCATATTAATCTTGGTTTGTGAAAAAGAATAAAATACTTTTTCAGAAAATACAATTTTAACAACTAACTGTCATCATATTTTTTCATTTTATACATGTAAAATATACGATCTACATGCATACGCGCATGAGTTTAATATATTTTATTTTTGCATTATATTGTTGCAAATAATTTTGATAGAATATTCTCTTATAAGTCTCAATTACAGACTTTTGTATTTTTGCCATTATTACAGGCGTGTAGCCTCCTAATTATTTTCATCGTATTTACGAAATCATCCTGTAATTCCACTAGCGCCTACATAGCACAAAACCATAAAACTTTTTTTAATATCCAACATATAAAAGAAAATTCAATTCTACTAACAACAATGTAACATAAGAACGATATAAAATTTTCGCTTAGATATTTTGATATAAAATGAAAACCGTCATTCACAGCAAAACATATTTCTATGGAATCCATATATCAAATAAAAATTGATTGAATATAAAAGAGAATCGATAAATCTCAATCAGAGTTAATGAAAAATAATGTAACCACTTACAAGAGAAGCGGAGTAGCAAAAAGTCGTGCAACTAAACACACAGGGGCGCGTGCCCGTTCCCAAAACACGTGGTTCAGCAGCGCATGAAAACAAGTTCACGGATACCTTTCTCCGCACGATCAAAGTCACATTCCACAGTAGACACATTACGCGTAGCGCGCTATTTATTTCACAGTTACCGTAATACACTTATAAACGTAACAAACTCTAATAAACGAAACCAACTACATAACTTAGTCTTCGAAAAACGCCAACCACGTTTACGAAATTTCACATGCGATATAAATCTGTTATTGCGAACGAGACATCTCGACAATCGAAACTGACTATCGAAGTCGACTTTCGATGTTGACATTTCATCTTATAAAGCAGACATTTCTAATCCTATTAGAATGACGTACGTTATAATCCTATTAGAGTCATAAATATGGAGAAAATGTCAACACAGCGCGTCTATAATGCATATGTTTAACAACAGGATAGTAGTATCCGAAGATGTAGCGTATAGAGAACAGAGCTCATCGGTTCAGGTTGAAGTGGGGCGCACGCGAAATACAGGTGTGCGAGGAGGACAGCAAGAGCACGTGACACGTGAAACGCACGCTTGGTTGAAATCACGCGATTTTATACCCACAGAGACGAAAAATGGACTCAGAGATTTGACGTAATAAAGAGGAGAAAACCGTCGAACGAAAGAAAGGTAAGAAGAGAATGAACGATGAGGAAAAGCGATAAAAGGGAAGTGGCACTGGCAGAACGAGCATTAGCAGTCCAGTTGGTTAGGTTGGTTGGTGTGCGTCTACCAAGCGAACAGGCAGGCAGACAACAAAGGTGAAAAGAGAGTAAGAGTGTGTAAAAGAGAAAAGAGGAGGGTCGAGGTCCTTTTTGTAATAGCTTACCTCGTGCGCCCGGGGATGCTGGTGACTGCAGTGACGATGCTCGAACATTCCACACACAAGATCCATACCACACACCACGATGATGACAACGAGGAGCAATACGACGGTGCCGCATTGCATCTTCAACCGCACTCGAGCCGCCATCACAGACGACGCTCGCGCTCGCAAAGCATGACACATACTGAACGCGCCTGCCGACGCCGCGCATTTATATAAGCGTCGCGGCACCCAGCGCCGCGCCACTCGCGTTCGATACCTAGAGCGCGGCAGACGCTCTCTGCTGTCGCCGCGATAACTCCCTCGGGAGTAACCTGCAAAGAAATCGAAGGGTTACTGTCATAAATGCTGTGAAACTACCTTGTATTATACTCCTTTTTAACAGCTTATCGAGTAATCTTTCTCGATGTTTCTATAAGAAATCATTTTTCTTTGTCTAGTAGTTTTGACAGGAAAATAATTTTATTATCGTTTTATTAAGTTTTCTAATTTCTAATAACATTTTTTTTTTTACAAGAGTCTTGTTAGTCATTTTATCTTTACGTACTGATAATCTATAATTTTTGTGTGAGAGAAATTCATTTTGTTTCACATCACAATTTGGCTGATACCCACACAATTATTTAATGGAAGTAAGATGTTTTTGGGAAATATGAGAACATTGTATGAAAATATTCTTTTCCCAAAATTTAAATTTAAAAAATTGAGAGTATTATAATGTCATTTATGCAAAAGCTAAGGTATAAAAGTATTTTTTATAAATATTCGAAAAATAGATTTGTTCCTAAGTTCGAGATATAATTTATGTTACATTCAAGTAATATTTATTCTGTAATAGATGAATATTTAAGAATACCTAATGCATTTATGATATGACTTATGTTTTTAAAAACATACTAAAGGAGGTAATATGTACAGAGTACTATATAATATGTACTAGAGTTAAGGTAAAAAGAAAGCAAAAATATTTGGAAAGAAATATCAATATTTTATTCAACACATTATGTTACAAAGATAACCTGTACTTTGTACAATTTCTAAATTGTAATTATTAAATATTTAACCTTAATCTCACTTACACTAATATTACTATGAGAGATAGTAACAAATTGTATAAATTATATATTTAGTTTTTACATATACACGATATATGACATGTACGATAAATGAAACATTTTGCCCTTTTAATTTTTGCATATTTCCGCATACCAATTCTTGCTTTTTACACAATTCATACTAACGCAATGGGGGCAACGTGTTAAAAACATGGGACTCACTGGCTTATTCGATTTAAGGTGAGAAGCAACGATATCTGCCAAAGCTGCTATAAACGTAGGATGATCATTAGGTGCAGCAGTTCTCCGTATTTTTTCAATGCCAAGCTAAATACAAAAGAAGGTAAAAAATGCTTCTCCGTAGTTAGATTCTCTTTTTCTGAATTAAAAGTGATATGCAACACTTACTTCCTCAGCTAATTCTTTGCAATACTCAATGTCCAATTCATGAAGAGTTTCAATATGTTCGTTAACAAATGCTATTGGAACTATCATGAAATGCTTTTTGCCTTGCTTTACATACGCTCTTATTGCGTCATCGGTAAAAGGCTCCAACCAAGGTATAGGTCCAACCTAAATATACACAGTAATAAATCAGAATATAAATTAGCATAAATTTTAATGTATTTCGTTGTATGGTTTTAACTATTCGATGGAAAGAAAAATGTGGCAAATGTTGTTTATTTTCAAGTGAACTATAACGAGGTGCAATAATCGAGATACAATTTCATTTAAAAAGAAATAGACTTTTCCGTAGAAGAGGATATAGCAACGGTATCTCATTTAGCATATCAAAGAATCCGTGAATTTTAATGAACCAGTAAATGTCAAAAACTTTGTAATTTTACTCCTAGCAGTTTCACTATGCATGATATATTTGGTGTGACAGAATTCATTCTTTTAAAAAGAATATGTCAATACGTTGCATATAACATTCCATTTAACAAAACGTGAATAATTTCGAAAACTTGGAAAGTATCACATTCAGAATAAAACAAATATCACCGTGTGTTTTTTATATATATAATTTTCGTATTGAATGCTTTTTAGTAGGATTAAACATAACGAAAATATTAATTTTAATATTAAATATTAACGCCAATTTTCGGTTTCTTGTCTTGTACAATCAAGTGCTAGCTATTAATTATTAGTAAATAATTTAACAATGAAGTTACCTTTAAAATCTTATAGAAAAACTGTATTCATAAATTTATCCTCCTCAAATAAGGAAATATTGCTTCAGTATAATTAAAAATAAGTAAAATTGATTACTAACACGAAGACAATGTCTATACCTTTGACTGCCATACCAATTTGTATGGGTTACAATATTGTAATTTTTCCATTACTACGGCAACTGTACCTGCTACCTCAGATGCATAAGTATCGCCCCTAGATACGGCCTAAAATACAGTGCAAAACGCAATGTTCAAGTAACTGTAATTCACATCAATTTGCTCTTAATACTGAAAAGTAACCTTCATTGGTAGCGAATGAGCCGAAAATAAAATTATGACATCGTCCCTTATATCCTTAGGGAACTGAGCTAATTCCTCTTTAATTCTTTCTGTAATTGTCTCTATGAACAATGGATGCGTTGCCCATCGATCTATTACGCTCCACTTCATGTTAGAAGGTAATTTTCTGTAAATTATGAATCTCTGAGTACTGTCTAATACATTTTTGCACTGTATCGAGATATTAATTTATCTTATCATTATGTTTCGATAAATATACTTCAGAAGGATTAGTTATGAATATAAAGCAAAATGCGCACTAAAATGGCAGCACATTCTATATTCTAATAAATTTTTCGTTTTAAGGTCTAAAGTTAATTCTTTGTGCTTTTATGTTTTCATTAATTAAAATATTTATTATGTACATAAATGCATATTACAGAATATACAATTTTTTATATATCACGAAAAAAAAATGAAATGACGTGAAACGATAAGATATTATGATCAATCTCTGTGATTAAATATACTTATTAGATTTTATTTATAAACATGTGTATATATATATGTAAATTTATTAGCACATTTTTTGCAAGTTATTTGTTCTTTTATTAGAAATATAGATAGCTTAGAATGCTTACAGTATGTGCACGCTATAATAATTTTATCTTTATCAAATATCTTTATCAAATAAAAGTCGAATAAAGGATCTTTATAAAAGTCGAATTATCTATGTTTAGTAATGAATCATATAAACACGAATAACATAAATAATATACATGTTTAAAGGTTTGCTTCATCTTTAAAAAATTATATACAATAATTTTCGACATGCTAAGAAAAGATTTTGCATAAAAAAATATTCGTTGCATGCTTGATTACACATCTATGTATATCGTATTGTCCAATCTCTACTTATAAGTAAGTTAAGTTTTCTCTACTCTCGACGAAAGTTTCGTGTCGTAAATACGGAGATTTAAAAGACTAGTCAATTGTTTATCGGGCAGTCAAAGAGATTAATTATACCTTTCATACTAGCTAAAGAAAATATTTAAAAAAATCAACTATAGCATGACTTAAGCAAATTAAATATGACACGGAAAAATATATGCGTGTGACATCTGAAGAAAATGAAAATGTATGAGCTGCCTGAATATTTTTTTTTCTTTATAAAATATTAGTGAAAAAAGATGATTAATCATATTAAACTAAGTATTATGTAATTTCAAATTCAAAACAATTTGTAGAATAATAAATAATTACAATTTTTATATCATATGTATTTTTATATCATGTATGATTATATTTATAAAATACATATCTTAAAACATGCTAGCACTTTAGTGCAGTGGTAATAGATTTTAACATCTTCACATCTACTTTAAAATGTATATAATACACTAACAACTTTTAATTCTTTTATTGTAATCATATTGCAAAAAGAAATCATAAGTAACTACCTGTTCAAATAATATTTATATATTTCAATAAAACTCGATCCACTTGTGGCACAAGAATATTGAGGATATTGAGAAAAGACAACTGTATGTTCAACTCCATCTCTAAAATGAAAATGTATATATATATTGCTTAAAAGAAAATTATTTGTTACATTTTATTAACTTTATTCAGTATTTATCTTCAGTTGATGATATATTCTATCTTTCTATATCTATATTTAGCATTCTTACTCTTCTATCTTTTGCAATGTATCTTCAGTAAGGGGATTAGCATAACGAAATGCAATATAATGTTTATGAGGTGCAGTTTCTGGTGAAATATTATCCAATTTCTCACACAAAAGTTTACCCTGTGTGTTTGTCCATTCTAAAATGGGAGATTTGCCACCAATTTGTGAATATTTTTCCTGTACCTTGGGAGTACGGTATATTGCCATCCAAGGACCTATTTGGCTGTAATACATATTGTTACATGGAATCTTAACTTAACATTGATTTGGTTGCTATAAATTATCAAAATTCACCAAACTAAACCTTTGGAATGGCAGTTGAATCATATCACGATCGGTCATTATACGTAATAAGTACTCATGCACCTCATCGACCCCACTGGGACCACCCATATTTAACATTAAGATACCAGTTTTTGGTTTAACATTATTTTGTTTTAAATTTGTTGTAGAAAAGTGACGCCAAGGCAAAATGGAAGATTTTGCACATTGTTTCCCTGAATACCGACATAAGAATATATTTAAAAAAGTAAATACTAAAGCAAAAATTAACAGTACAAAAATTATATATAAGAACATACTCTGGTTTTAACATCAAAATATTTAATACATGAAATAATACTAGACTTAATTTTCATATTCTTATTTTATTACAATATATAATTTGTATATTTTTACTATCTAATGGTTTGCATACGTATGTGTAAACTACTTTAACTACATAATAAAAAATCTAAAATACCTATATACAAATATAAAATGTATATAATATATATTTTACTTACCAATTTGAAGTACGTTCATTAATTTACTAACCATCTTTAACAAATTAACACTTTCGAAAAGACAATTTTATCTGTCAAATACTTGCAAATATTGTGATTCTTGCACAATCACGCTTATGTGGTATGTCTTATTCACTGTATCATTAAAATATAGGTTAGGCTTAGGAGTGAGGTTATGTTCGCCTAGTAGAATTCCGCATAACGTAAGTAATTATATGTTCACGTCAAATTAAATTTTAGACACGCTCTTTTGTTATAAATCACTGATTTAATGAAAATACAAAAGATAACTAGGATTAATACATTTAATACATAATATTACGATTTAATCATAATCTTCGTACAGTCAAAATAAAATCATGACAGATAAAAACATTGAAGAACTCGGACCATCGGATTTAGGCACACGTGATTAGTAAGTAATACATACCGTATTCGTAAATGTGAAACACTCGATAAGCATTACTTTATGTCACAATTATGTTTCAGTTGGGAGAGGATTTATTCAGAAGAACTTGATAATTTTAAAGAACACGGAGATGTAGGTGAAATATGGTTTGGTAGAAATAATACACTAAAAGTCATACGGTAAGTTATTCGAATAAGACACGAAAATTTCATGTAACAACGCGGAAAGTATATGTATACAAGTACACGTATATAATAGAAGCACTTTTCACGTAAACAGTACAGTATTTTACTCGTGAGACTAGTGCTGCTATCTTTCGTAAGTTATAGCTACTAAAATATGTATCATGAGAAGATAAAATCTTTAAATCTCTTATTCAAATTCAAATAAGATAATTTCTACTTGTTTTTATACGATTGAGCTTATAATTAGAATAATTATGATGATAATTATACATATGTATAATAATTATATAATAGTAGCAGCTCCTATAATTTTATTCATATGTACATATTATTGCTTATTATATGATCGGAGCTCTGGTATAATCATTTAGCATTAAATATTTTAGATATTATCTTATTTTTATATATCTTCTTTTTATATTATATATGTTTTTAAATGTATTCCTTATTAATATTCTGTCTAATATTTCAGTTGGATCAATACGCAATTAAAACTTAACAAAGATGACAAAATAGTCGATATAGGATGTGGAAACGGAATGACATTAGTGGAACTTACAAAACAAGGTTTTGAAAAATTGCTAGGTATAGATTATTCGGAAAAGGCAGTGGACTTAGCTCGTGAAGTACTGAAGGAAAATAATATATCACACGTCGAATTAAAAGTTTGCGACATACTCGATTCAGAAAATTTTAATTTACCGATTGACTTTAAATTAGTACACGATAAAGGAACTTACGATGCCATCAGCTTACATCCAGAAGATCCTTCGTCAAAACGGCAAAAGTATATAGAAAATATATACAAAATTCTGTTATCTTCTGGTTACTTAGTTTTAACTTCATGTAATTGGACTAAAGAAGAAATAGAGAAACATTTTCAAAATTGTAAGTTATATTACTATTTGAAGCAACAATTACATTCATTAATAACGAATTAATCTTTATGATAACATATATGACAATATTAATAACATTAATATAATTTACAATATTTTAGATTTTGACATCTTACATGTGCTTCCTGCTGACACATTTGTATTTGGTGGACAAACTGGAAACATTGTAACACAATTAGTTCTCCAAAAGAAATAATAAAAAGGTCGATTAACAAAATATATGAAGTATTCCATTTATTTACTTTTTATAATTGACTCGTATAATCTACAATTAATATGTTATTAAGAAGTACGGTGATACATATGTTCAGAATACAGACAAAATTTATTAGTGCATAATATATTCGTGCTAATAACATATTAAAATAGTGGAGACGAATAGTACAGTTCGTTATTATGCTATTATCAATTTACAAACGTTATAAAATGCTATGCATCATAATCGAAATAAATATTACTGTCCATTTGTGTTCTGATAAATTCGCATTAACGTAAATTATTAGTATACATATTATTTAGTTGTATAGTTATTACATAGTTTGTTTCATACAGTCATTGGTACTTGAGGCATTATTGGCATGTTAAAACTTCATATTATATGTATTTACGTACGTCTAACTGCTACATTGGGATTATCGATTTAAAATTTGCTAGCTGTAACTACGAATAAATCGTGAACGAAAAGGCATTATTTTTTTACTTATATAGATACTAAATTGAACGATCTGTAATAGTACTTACTATATTCTATTTAATAAAATTGTGTGATAGTAATATCTTAAGTTACGACAACTTTTTTTATAATATATAGAATGAAGTTGTTATATCATATAAAATTTCATTAGGCACGTTAAATTTTAATAACTGAACTTTTTACAGAATTGAAATTTTAAAGAAATGTTGTTCAAAAATAAAAATTAATAAACATAAAGTGTCCTAGTGCGGGTGATATAATCAGCTAGGAACCAAGATGAAGAAAAAACAAATTTTTTAACTTGAGACACTGTTTTCGTGAAAATTAAATTCGAAAATTCGTCGAATAGATATAGCTAATTACCGACCTCACAAGTAATATGATTTTACTTAACTTTTTTACTTTACTTTCTTTGTTTAAAGTCACATATTTGAGAAAATTGGATTTGAAATAGAAGTGATCAATAGCCACACCGAGTGCACGTATATATACTTCATGAATTTTGAAACTCAATTTTCTCGACTACACGTGAAATAAAAAAGCATTATTCTCTTCTCCGTCTTTCGCATATACGATATAATATCTTCCTACTTGATCATATAATCTGTCTTGAGACATCTTGTATATTTATAGTTAGAATTACGTAGCGCTACTGAATCTTTGATACAAAAGGAGTAGATCATAATTTCGCAAATGATATTTGAATGAAATTATATTTTATCATATAACACGATATTATATATATAATATAAAAAGTCAAATTTTTGTATTCTCTAAACTAGTGTAGATCAACTTAGATTAGTCTAGAAATGAATTGACAAACTTTACATGAAACGAACAAATTCTATTATTACTTTCGATAATTTTCAAAAGAAGAACTGACTTCGCAGTTTAATTAATATAATCAGTATCATAAGCACATTATAAAATATTCAAACGAAGTTAAACATAACTATGGTACATATATGTTAATGTTCTATACTCTAAGAAAATTATAAACTTTACATGTACATGCAACTAAATACAACTAGACAACAAATTGCAGAACAAAGTGTTTCGATCATGAATTAAAACTCTTTGCTTATATCTAAGTCGTTGATTCTAATATGTCCCGTGAATTACCTAATATTCTGCACTAATATAATTTTTATTGCAAAGTTCCAAGTATTAATAATACGTATAAATATTTAAAAGATAAGAATCAATAATCATAGACATACAATACAGAGATTGAAATTACGATAAAATGTAGGTAAAACATTTTACAAAATTCTACTACAAAGTTTTACGAAAAAATTGCTCTTAAGTGAAAGATTCATTACATATTCATACTTAAATAACGATATGTTATTGAAATATTTTAATTATCTTTAAGTATCTTAATATACCGTATAATAGACGTTTGCACTATGGAATAAAATTTAATTCTTAATAGTACAAAACAAATCTATGAGAGATTGTCAACATTAAATATGAAATACGTATATTTTAAAAAATTAACTATTTTGAATTATGATTATACATATGTTACTAAATTGCATTACTATTAATTAGAAAATGTAGTGACAACTGAAACATACCATAATCATAACGAAGGTTATAGGACAATTAATAATTAGAATATATTATGTTTTGTACCTATTGATATTGCACATATTTTTTTCATAAAATGAATTATCCAAAAATACAATAAAATATTTTAAATATACGTAAGTATTATTTATTTTAAATATGTGAAAGATATATTTTTAAACACAATTACTTGCAATGAAAATATAATATATTTTTTAAAGTTATGTCGCGTATAAGTAATTTATTACTTTCCAAGTACAGTTATTAAACCCAATAGTAGTTATGAAACACATTTAAAATTTGTACTATAATCGTGGTAAACTTAAGACTATTTTCCAACTCTACACAATATGGTATTTTTGGTTGATTCATAGTTTAGAGTTTCAGCAATGTTTTAGCAGGTTTAAAATTTTGAAGAATTTATACGGTTCGTCTTGCAATATTCAAATTAACAGAAGTTTTGTTTCATAATACTCAATGTAAGTAACAGAAGTGTTGTGTGAAATATGAGGACGGATGAGCTACCTGTGAAAAAAATTCATTGCAGTTAGAAACTTTTTCAAGTTACATGTGATTCGTAATTTTGCGATTATAGAAATTTTTGCTTAAGAGATGACTCGATTAACAGGTTAAGAAACCAAGAACGTGATGACATACCATTGCAAAATAATACACCCTCTTCGTTATATCCTTCTTGGCAATAGCAACGTTTTCCGGACATGGTATTGTTCCGTTGTACGCAATGTGCACCCTCGATGCATTCAGAATCATCATTACATGAAGTATGTAACGCTACAATAGAAATATACATTGATCAGGCGTGTTGTTAATTAGATATAGAAGTGAATTAAATTTTTACATTTACGTTTATTTGGTTAGATAACTGTAAGAGCATTTAAAGTATTATATTTGTAATTATATTGTATAAATAGATTTAAGTTAATAATAAATAGGTATCTCACTGGAATATGGATACTGACTAATTCAAATTCAAGTGAAATAATTTTCAAATGAATATTTATCAAATATTCTCTTTTAAGAAAGAGATTATAGAACTTGTAATAAGCGTTTGGATAAAAAATGTTGGATATGAATACTTAAAATATATGTATATTACATTATATGCGAAATCTTACGCGTGATGACAATTTCATTTCAAAGTTTGGCAGATTTAATTTAGAATTTCTATAGTATTCGTACACTGCATATCTTAATGGAGTATTATCATTTTGTTAAAATCTTTTGCTCTTGCTACAATCAATATCTATATATTTATATCTGTTCTTAGAGCAGAACCAAATGTTCTTAATCGTCGTAAAAGATGCATTTTGAATTCATACAGACGCGTAACTTTCAACCATTTTATTTACAATAATCCTGTAATCAACGTAACAAAATTTTCTTCTCTGATATCTACTAAATTATGCATCTACAATAATAATTACTAATATAAATCTAAAAACTCTCATTCTAAATATTTAATTTAAATCCTAATACGAAGTAATTCACTACAAATTTAATTTCTTTGCAATTCGAAAATGTAATACGTAATACCTTTACTAGCAATATTCAACTAATTTTCGAATTACGTGATATATCGACTTTTATGTTTGCATCATGAAATAGCAAGAGTATATTAGAAAACAAGTAAATTGGCGTTGGGGTATAGCAAGCTGCAATGATATTCGTAAAGCTTTTCAATTTGCATAGATAACCTCGGTGCTGGTACCAACACCATCATATGTTCGCATATTGCAAGAGAGCACGTGAGTATATGCAAATGACAGTAGTACCTTGTGTACGAAGAAATTCAATATGTATCTTTCTTTTTTAATTGAATCCAAGATTTATTTAAAATAAATATAACATAATCTCCTATGCACGATCTTAAATTCTCAAGTGTATAATTATATAAATTAAATAAGAATTATAATAACGATCACATATGTATATAACAATTAAACCATAATAATTATAAACTCCGTGGATCGTTACAAATAAAAAAGTTCAAAAATAAAAAAGTTTCTAAAAATGTTTAGGAAGAATAAATTACCTTTGAATTTATTGGTACACGCGCCATTAAGAGGAGCGGAATAGTCTCCACAAAGACAACGTGTTCTTCCGTCACGATGATCCGACATACATGTTGTATTTTGGATTCCAGCGCAATCAGACTCCAATTTACATTCTCGAGCTTTCCCGACTGAAATTACAACCAATCCTTATGCGTGAAAGCGTTTTCTAACTTTCTAAATTTTGCTATTTTATTTATATTTGTCTAGAAATTATACATCTGTCCAAGAATGATAACATTCTTTTTTATAGTTTCTATTTGTTTAATACAAATAATATGAAATACGGCGGTATATACATTCTTTTGGATAACAGTGCTGTAAAGTAATACTTTATAATCATACGAAAGTGCATTGCTACAATTAGCAAGCGGCATCATCAAGACCAATAAGTCGCAAGAATTTGAATATCTGAAAAGCTTTCCTTTCAAATGTCTGACAAAAATCGCACATTTTAATATAATTGAGAGAATTGACAGATTGTTCCTTAAGTTGATAAGTCTCTTTGATTAACCTGGTGTAGGCGGTGGTGGAGAATTTTGGTTCTGCGTTGGGCTGGGTTTGCCGAATGTCGTAAGAGCCCAAGTAGACGATGGTGATACGAAAAACACCAGTAGAAGAAACGTCGCAAGTAATTGAAGATTTTTCGTCTTCTTCATTTTCGCCGGGTTTACTTGTTGCAGCTTCGATGTATGTACTTAAAACCCGCCAAAATGTCTATTCAACACTCAGCTTGTTCACTAGTCACTAACTTTCGAAGTTACAAAGTTTCGATTGCAAGACAGAAATCACTCGCTGCTGTTCACCAAGATATCAACCCTGACCGTCTTTTGTTGCAACGAAGTTAACGTCCGCACAAACTTTGCAAATTGCTTCGATGTACACTGATATCTAAATGACTATCGTAGTATCATTACAAGTAATAACGCTTAAATTTGCAAGAGAAGGTGGAAGAAAAATTTGCTCGCTGTTGCTTTCAGGTTGATTTTTATTTGAACGGAATACGATTACGTTCTATTCGAGAACTGCGTGTTACAAGGACGTTGGAAGGCCTTTTAAGCCTTTGAAGCATCCCCACCCTGTACCCCATGTGCTGCCACCACCGAAGTAGAAAGTACTCTACACCAAAACGTGGTTGGCCTACCACATCGTTGAAGAATCGGAGTATGCTTTCGCTCCCTTAAGTTTCGATCGTGGCAGGAGTTGTGGCCAGGAGAAATAGAACGGTTCCGTGCTAGAATAAAGCATCTCAACTTTAACTTCGTCACGATATATCGTACTTTCACGCTTTCGCCAAACATCTGTTTATTACGTTGAATAGATAGATTTTCGA